TAAAGTTAGTTTTTCTTCTGCTCATGGTGGTTCTGCAGGTTCAAACAGGTCGTTACAGTTCTAGATGACCGTCACTCCCAAATGAAATTAATCGGTCGACGACGGACCAAAGCTAACCTAAAGTTAAAGAAATATGAGTGGGTAAGTGAATTTGGGCAAAAATCAACCTAGAATACTTTGTTTCCGCAATTATTTTATTCAGTTCCCGCCCTATATTTGAATTCAAACTTGTCCCGATTTCGCCGCCAATCCTCTAGCCAATAGTAGAGGTGGTTGAAAAGAAGCTTCATTTTTTGCTTTTAGCCCTCCGTAGAGTCCCTTTATACTGAGAGTCAAGACAATTCAGCTCATGGATGTCACAAACGGGAATAAAGATTACAGAAATTGAACGTTTTTCGTAATCTTTGATCGGCCCATTCTCAAATGCCTTTCTCCGTTCCTCCTCTCATTCCGTTTGTTCCTTGCCGAACCCGTAATTCCCTGGTCCATTCCAGATTATAATCTTTGCAATCGGTGAAAATGTAATCTTTATTCCCGTTTGTGACACTGTGGAGGCCTAAAATACGGGAACCAATCAGAAATGGATTCAAATTGTCTTGACTCTCAGTATAAAGGGACTCTAGCCCTCCGTCTTTATGTCTTTGGCTCCGGAGCAGGTTGCAGAATTGTTACGAGGTTTCTAACCTCACTTCTAGCTGCTTTGCTCTCATTGGTTGTGAAAAAGTGACGCAAATAACACAAAATCGGTAGCAGGAAACAATTGTTGCGGCAAGCAAAATACGTCTATTGTGCACTGATTGTCGCACTTGCATTCATCGATATATTTGCTCTTGTATTGATTCTGCTATGAAATTCAACATGTGCAAGCATATTCACCTGCTTTGTCAAAAATTAATCAGAAATCCCATTACTCATGAGGCAAACGGTGAAACTGTCGAAGAAGACGAGGACGATAGGCAACTTGTTATTAGCATTGGCAACGAATCAGAAATGAACGAAAAGGAAAATTTAATAAAGCAGGTATGCACAAATGGTATGTCCCGCAATTCTGAGTTAGATGCCAGGAAAGAAGAGCTTCTTATGAGTCTAGAAAACATCAAGCAACAAGTTGTAATAATCAATTCTGTTGCAGAACTTGAAGCTTTAGAGAAATTACTACTTCCAGTTCAACCAACTTAAGCTGCTGTCCGAGAATCAGCCAACGAATCAGCCCACTGTCTGGAACCATTTCCAGAAAAAAAAATCCCTCTAAGAAGCGAAAATTAGATCCGCAACGAGGACCAACCAAGTTTTCCTCTCCTAAGAAGAAGAATAATAAACCTGACAGAAATGTCCTGTCAAATCCAAGCAGTAATGAGCAAGAAAATATTCTATTCAATTTAGTTTAAACTGCAAAATAAACTTTGTACGTTTGCCACAGATTTCTCTCAATGCTATCATGACTATGCAAATTCACATTCAATCTAGAGTCCCTTTATACCCAGAGTTACGACAACTCACTTTTGGTTGGGCCAGGATTGGGCTGAAAGTGGCCTAAAAAAAAATCCAATTCTGATTGGTTCTCGCTCATGGAGGCCGAAACGAGTGCACCAAGATGGCGGTACCTCGAATGTGAACAAGAATAATGAAAATATTACCTAATTGTGGTTTATCAAGAGTAAATTGATATTTCCATAGGTCCAAAATGAAAATAGATTAAGAAATTATTCACAAACCAATCTCATTTTCTTTTTAATTAATCACTTTGTTGATGTTGTTGTTTTTATGTGACAGACATCGCAGGATTCCTGATCCTTATCTATCCCTCAATATCGTTCGTTTGGGTGCACTCGTTTCGGCTTCCATGGCCAGCCAAGGACGGCTGCCACTCAGCTGATAATCGAGTTGTCGTAACTCTGGGTATAAAGGGACTCTAATTCAATCTCTTGCTTCTTTTTGCACAGATATTCTGAGATGGGTTTTTTTTTTTGCTGTTTTTGTTTATTTTAAAACATCTATATTCTGAGCTAAAGCGTAAAGTTTCTGTATAGTGAGTGAGTACCGGGTTTCTCAAAAAGAATAGAATAGAATAGAATAGAATAGAAATCACTTTATTCGTTAAAAATGCGCAAAAAGGCAAACAAACGGGTCAACTTAGATTAAACTTAATAGCAAAACTTAATAAATTAATAAACTTAATAGTAAACTTAAGAAGCGCGCAAGCAAAATCAACGGAGGAAGCGCTCCCAGTGGTGGTTATTTGAACCATGCTCGCTCAGGGTCCAGACGTTCGTCTGGGTGTGCTAGATATGGAATTATATCAGTAAAAGTATATAGAGCGCACCCGCGCGCGGGTCCCGATCCCCGCGGCCATGATGAAAATGAAGAAGAAGAAGCGATTTTTGTTTATTTTTCAAATAATGAAGAAGAAGAAGCTGTCTAATTTCGCTGTTTTCGCCAAGTTTCCCGCAATCCGGCTCCGTTCCCACTTCCCATTAGGGTTGGGCGATTAATGAGCTAATCGATTAATCGGTAATCGATCAATCGCGAATGAGGTAATCGTTTCAAATCGACTAATCGGTGGTTGATAATCGATTAATTAATCGAAATATTGAACTTGAAAAATGGCCGCTCAAAACTCTATGAAAAAGGAAAAAACAAACAAACACGCGGCAACCTGGTAATAACCTAACCTCCTAAGCCTAAATCGCTAATTTGCAGAGACAACTAATTTGCTAACATGTGCTAGTGTGGCTGTGATACATATTAATTTTATTATTTTTATTTTTGTGTTATGTTATTCTAAATAATGTCAAAAAAAAAATCCCTCGTCTGGAAGTATTTCAAATTGAAAGAGGAAAAAGGAAACTCAAAAAAGAAGCACGTCATATGTTCTATCTGCAAAAGTATTTTAACGTACTGTGGAAGTACTACAGCTCTCATCAGTCACCTGAAGAGCCAACACGGTAATCTACAGTGTCGATTTGAAGAACCTGACAAACCTAGTGAAATTGATGACAGTGTTGAAGATGATCCAGATACTCCAGATGCCCCTGAAAATCCCGCTCCAAGTGCTCCAACACCTTCTACTTCAGAGACACCGCAATCGGCGCAATCCCAAAGCTGGAGAAAACGAGCTGCACCTGCATCCACAATCTATGAATCCTTTCAGGCAAAAAAACCCGCAGCTAAGGATGGCTACTTCAAGGTAATGAATCAGTGTTTGATGCTTTCATTTAGGTACTCAAAATTCTAATCATTATTTGACTTTATATTGAGAAATCTGCTCACTGAGTCAGCTTTTTTCAATTTGAAGGACAAAATTCAATAATCAGGTTCGGTGCTGGCACAAAGTACTGCCACCTTAGCCTTCAGATTGCTTCCTCTACCTACATGTTGCCAGTGCGCGACAAGTAGAATCCTACGCTGAATGTGGCTTGAATGTGGAGGTCATGTGTCGGACGCCTGAATTTTGCGCGTGTCACGCAAAATTCAGTGACCATCGGATAATGTCGAATTTTTCTGAACTATCTGAATAGATTTGATACTTTGGATGAAAATAACTTGAATTTGCGTAATTCAGCCCTTGAGTGATGACTGTTGACTTCCATATTCAGCTGCCAAATTCAGCGTGTGATTCCAGCAACAGCCATTTCCTCAGTTCTGGGTTCAATAATCTGACCTCCAACATTGTTTGTGTAATTTCTAATGCCTTCATAATATTTTGTCAATCGTAGAAAGATGATCACAATGCACCCTCTTCTTCCATATTACATGACAATATGAAGCTTTATTTATAATTATAGCAGTTTCAAGTTATGCGGTTGCCTTTAGAAACCCATTTACTGACAAGATTATGAAGCCCTTGGAATAAGATACTATTGACTGGTGTGAGTTTCCAATCGCTTACCTATTCCTTCAAAGTTGAAACAACTAGAAGTCCCAAAATGAGAAATTGGGTCGACACTACAAAGGTTAAGAATTAGAGAGGTGCTGTGGTTAGATACACTGTCGGTTCATACTTGTACAAATCAGATGTACCCAAATTTATTTGAAGTATGTTTATTCTATAGTTCTAGTTTGAAAGTGCACTGCTTTACCAATGAAAACTTTGTTATTGGTCAATGCTAATTTTTGTTCATCCTGTTCTCAGGGAGAAAAGACAGCATCCAAGGAAAAAGCAACACCAAACGTGACAACCTCAGAAGTGCCAAAACGTACTGTCAAAGAGCTGTTTGAGGAACAGAAGTTGGATTCAGAAAATCCAATCCTTAATGATGTCATCAGAGGCAACCCTGACAACTACTCGCTCTCCATTTCCTTGGCCGTCCTCTCAAGCATCGAACATTGATGTACCTTTTTCAGGGAGGTATTACCCTAAGCATCGAACATTGATGCACCTTTTTCAGGGAGGTATTACCCTAAGCATCGAACACATCTTCATAACAAAGTACGAGCATGTCATTCACTGATGCAACCCTTTTTGTGCTCAGGGGGGCAACCCTGATACCATTGGATCCACCGATCCGAACAGGAGTCAGTCCTCGTTCACCCATTGGATACACCGATCCGAACAGGAGCAACATCCTCGTTCATGGAATACACATCCATACCACAGTACGAATGTGTATCACACATGTGGATACACATTCATACCGCAGCACGAACATGTCATTCACTTGCACCGCCCGTTTTTTTTTGTGTTCAGGAGTGGGATTATCCTGCAAACATGGGATTTAATTCGCAACCTCGAATACACATTCATCTCAAAGGATGAACATGTCATGTCATTCACAGGTGCACCTTTTACAGGGAGGTATTACCCATAGCATCGAATGATGCACCTTTTTCAGGGAGGTATTACCCATAGCATCGAATGATGCACCTTTTTTCAGGGAGGTATTACCCTAAGCATCGAATGATGTACCTGCAATCTGAAGAGGACAAATTAATAATGAAAAGAGACGACTCCTACGTAATGTACCGTAATCAAATCAACAAAGCTACAGAAGGCAACCTCATCATCTGCCGTACTAATATGTCTAAAGTGTCTCCAAATGTAAATAAACATTGTACATTTATTCTTCTTCCATCAACAGCTGATAAGTTGCAAGTTTCACCGATGAGTCTCGATGAACTCAGTTCATATCGGTGAATAACCACATAAATATCAAAAACAGCTGACTTACTATCTCAATGAAAATAGGCCACTAAATAATCATTGCGACATTGCCAAATTGTCGAGCAATCCTTGCAAATCATTTAAGATTACTTTTAATCAGCTAATTGCAATAATCCACCTTCACGCTATGATCATTTCAATAACATTCCATCAGAAATACATTTGAGACACCCCTGCGTTGTGTATAATCCTGGTCACGGCACCAAAATGTTTCTCCATGTTTTATTCCAAAAAAGATGAGGTTATCTCCCCCTCCAATCTCATGCTATAAGAACATGAGCTTTAGTGCAATAATACCATAAGAAATAATACAATTGACTTACAGAACACACGTAGTTTAATGACAGATACTGAAATGACAAATACTGAACATAAGAGACTGAAGATATCTTGACCTCAAAGGGATGATAAAGTAGAAAATGTACGAAGCAAGGACAATCAAAATCCACTCAAGCTACCACTCTGATGCACACTGGAAAGATGGTCAAAAACTGCATTTCTATGGTAACGGTGACGCAACAGAAGTCGATGACTGGTTAGTATAAGTTTTTGTACAAAAAATTCCACAACTCCAAAAAGAAATTAAAGTCCTTCTAATTTTAACTTTGAAAGTTTCAGCATCTCTCTCACGATACTAAAAAATTCCTGACTTGAGCATATCTAGGCTAACTGCTACAACCTGTGCATGATAGATATGTATGAAGTAGCTTCAACCAAAATTACCAAAATATATTTCCGACTGACATATAATTGTTTAAAAATGATAGCTGAATTGAACGTAATTAATGAGTTATTTTCTCTTTATTTTTCAGATGGAAACTCCAAATCCAGTAAACTCACTGATGCAATTGTTTACATGGTAGCGAAGGACAACCTCCCTTTTCGATCAGTTGAAGGCGTCGGTTTCCGGAAGGTGATGCACGTTGCCGCACCGCATTACAAGGTGCCAGATCGGAAGAAAATTGCTAAGTTAATAGAAGCAAAGTATGAAACATTAAGGACTAAAATTCAAAAGGTAATAGATACCCTGAAAATAATTTCTCTGACGACAGATATCTGGCAAGAGGAATATACCTCCAAAAGCTACATTTCACTGACTGGGCATTACATTGACACAAACTCAGGAGAAATGATATCAGTCGTCCTTGGCGCAGAGCCTCTGGATAGCAATCATACAGCTGCTTACATTGTCGAAGTGCTAGATAAGATCTTATCAGAATGGTCGATTCCTAGATCCAAAATTGGTGGGTGCGCAGCTGACAATGGGGCCAATATTGCCTGTGCTGTAAAGGATATGTTCGGCGAAAGAAGATATATACCCTGCTTTTCCCATACTTTAAATCTCGCGGTTTGCGACTCATTAGAAGGAATTGTAGAAATCCAGATTCTTGTGAAACGAGTAAAATCTGCAGTGACGTTCTGTAAAAAAAATGTTAATGCAGCAGATATGGTGAGAAAATCGCAAGTAGAAAAAGGAGTGCCTGAGGTTGATGCTCTGAAAGTTATCCAGAGTGTTGATACCCGATGGAACTCCCTTTTAGATATGCTTGAGCGGTTTTTGTTGCTGTCAGAGCATATTAATGCAGTCTTTATACGGTTTGACAGAGTGACAGAAGTTTTTGGGTCATCAGACCTTGCTCTTCTGCGGGAAGTAGTCAAACTATTACAACCCTGTAAAGAGGCAACCGTAGACCTGGGTGGACAAAAATATGCAACGACTAGCAGTGTTATACCAACAGTCACCTGCATAACTCAAATGCTGCAATCTCAAAAAGTAACGCTTGAACCAGCTATTGCCCTCCAACAGAAACTGTTAAGTGAAATACAGTCAAGATTCTACGCAACAGAGAAACATCGGCCACATGCCATCAGCACTATCCTAGATCCCCGATTCAAGCAGGTATATTTCCAACAGGCAGGTGCAGCAGCAAGTGCTTTATCTGCGATCAAATCTTTACTAGGGAAATAAAATGAAAAATCCCAACAGCAATCCAAAAGCCAACAACCTGAACCTGAAAATCCTGAGAAAAGTGATAGTATCTGGGATTTTCATGAAAAAATTCGAAAAGCCAACTGCCGAAACACTGTTGTAGAGGAACTAGGAGGTTTGCCCCTTCAATTACGGCAATATTTAAGTGAACCTACTTGCCATGTGTCTTGTAATCCATTCAAGGAATGGGAAACGAATTTGAAGTTCAAATACCCAGAGTTATACCAGATTGCCCTTCTGTTTCTTCCTCTTCCAGCAACATCGGTTGCTTCAGAGCGTCTCTTCTCTGCGGCAGGTAATATTATTACTCCACATCGGACCCGCTTGAAGCCTGCTTGGCTAAGCAAATTGTTATTTTTGAAATTTGCAAGCGACGAACTTTGGAATATGTAGGTGCTATTCAAAGAGCTTAGTTTAGAGTATTGTAAGCAACTTACCAAAATATTTTTTGACTAGTCCTTCCTTTCAATTTAATGGTTACCAAAACCAATCCTAATCAAAGAAAAAACCAAAGTTGCAATTTGATTCAAATTTGTTACAATTTGACCTCCAAAAGTAGGTGGTGCCATTCAACTTGAAAATTCATTCCAACACTTGTTTTTTCTTTGATCCTCATTTTCTTACCAAATCGTATGTAGTAAATAATTTTTTACTGATTAGGTAATTAAATTACTTAAAAGACTCTTACGTTTTGATTTATAGCCATATTATTTCAGTTAGAAAGTGTGAGCTTGATAAACGTAGGTACAGCTGTTTGATCTCTGAGATTAGTGATGTTAAGATATATCTTTCAAAATGTTATTGTTTAGTAAATTAAAGTATTTACTGTTTTCGTTCACCTTAAAGTATTTTCTAGTATGTAGCTGAATGTGTTTTCAACAGTTCCTCTGCTGCCTATTTCCGAGAGACTGATTTCTTAAGTAGAAGTAATTTTATTACTAGACAATAAATTCTACTAACAATAAGAGTGCCTCTTTATATAATTAGTTTGTATGATGAATCTCGCTTATTGTTCCATGAACATAATTCGTAAGCTTTGGCATGCCTTTGACATACATACTCACATACTATTTCATCTCTTAGATTTTTTATAGTATATTAAGGGTTCACATGCAAGTGAATTTCATTACTTAAATTTGAGGAATATTTTGTTCCAGTATTTTGTTACTGTAGAAAATGTAACGTTAGCAGAACTTGCTAGTCTTCTTTTTTTCCTTTTTTTATGCAGACGACACTCAGGTAATACGTTGCTGCTTGTTTCTGTAAGTTTTTTCATTTTTGTTTCTTTCTGTTTCATCCTATAATTTAAGTATCAATGTATAACTTTCTTTGTATTCCTTCTTTTCGAACAGTTCCTCTGCTGCATATTTACAAGAGACTGATTTCTTAGGTACAAGAAATTTTTTTGCAAGACAAATTCTATTAACAATAAGAGTGCCTTTCTTTATAATAAGTTCTGCACCTTGCTTATTGTTCCATGAACATAATTAGCAAGCTTTGGCATGCCTTTAATGTATACTCACATATTGTTTCATTTCTTAAATTTTTTATAGTATAAGATTTCACATTCAAGTGAATTTCATTACCTACTTAAATTTAAGTAAGATTTTTTTCCAGTATTCTGTCACTGTAGAGAATGTAACGTCAGCAGAACTCGCTAATCTTCTTTTCCATTTTTTATGCAGGTAACCCTCAGGTAAATCTGTTTTTTCTTGTAATTTAATTGTCACTGGATAACTTTTTTCATATTCCTTTTTTTCTTTAATAAATTTTGAGTTGAATTTTTATGGATGTCTAATTCTTACTTTCATATTTTTGAAACAAAACAGCAAAATAAAAACTTTCAGTCTGCAGACAATAAAGTAAGTTTTAAACTTATAAATTTTTATTGGGCATTACAAAAATGGAACAAAGAGTCTCAGAAATATATTCAAGAAAATAAAAAATACTAAGTGATAAAATTGAAGTAATTGCACTGACACAGACACAAGTTAATATTATTCAAGCCTGAGAAAGATGTACGAATTTAACAAATATTCAGAGAGATAGAAATTCTTTCAAGAAAAAAACAAATTCACTGATAGAAAAAAAAACAATAAGTAGGTAGGTGGGATTCTCTTCACTCAATTTTGNTGGATAGCATTAAGCAGAAATGCTTCAAGTCGCATCTAGAAAATTGGAGGAAATTAGGTTTAAAGTTTATCTTTTCCATAAAACACAATTTGCATTGACTTTCAATTCACATTTCGGCCGTTACATATTTTCCATGGGTTTAGTTAGTTTTGCTCAATACCACTCTGAACTAATTTTTTTTTTGAAAATGTGATTTGGTGCATTTCCCTCTTTATGCTTAACTGAAAATAGCCATCAATTTTATAATCTAGACTTTACTTCAAAAATCACGGTAGACTATTGATTATGAGGTTTTTCTTTTTTTTTTTCAATTTACCCGCTTTTTGATGGAATGAAACTACATAGTTGCCATCGTCCAATAGCAATCGAGGATTGACTGACCGACGGATCGACGACGGTGCCAGTTTGTGCAGATACCTAAAACGGTTGACTGCGCATGATCCTCAAAAATAAACAACTGTCAGCTGCAACATTACTCGAGTTTTGAGAAACCTGAGTTTAGAAGTCGCATTAAATCATAGCTGTGACAAATCTGACGGCAACGTGGAACGTTCTGGCCCAAAAATCGATTAATCGACAACAATAGTCGAATTATTCGATTAATCTAATACCAATAATCGTTCACGTTAATCGATTAATTTTTGGTCCGATTAATCGATTAATCGGTTTCTTTCGATTAATCGCACATCCCTACTTCCCATCGTGAACTTCTCTGTGACTTCTCTTGAGTTCTCTGGATTTTTCTTTTCTCAATGGTAAGAATGGTTTCACATATTTCTGAACTCTCCTTGGAAATCATTTCATTAAGGATCTCTCATAGGTGATGAGCAACCAGAAGTTCGGTCGTTTCAGTAAAGACTCAACCTCCACTTGTTATCTATTGCGCTTCTTGACCATGTGCACCTATGCCTAACTTTAAAAACCTTCTCGTTGTTAACTGCATTGATATAGAGCAATGGAGCAAGGTTATTGTGAAGGAGTGGGAACCCCTCATCGCTGCTTGATAAGTAGCCCGGAAAAAGCTGTTGACAACAATTGGACCGAGTTTAACAGAAAGGAACCAAGCCACATCAGCGATTGCCAAGTTTAACTGGGCAATTATATTTTTTACGAGAGAACGGTTGTTCGGATTCCTTTGAACATTTTAAGGAATTTGTTTCGCACCACGGAGAAGTTTCACTGAAATTTGCACGAAAATCCACACAACCGTTTTCATGTAAAAAATTAAATTGCCCAATTAAATTTGGCAATAGCTGATGTGGCTTGGTTCCTTTCTGTTTAACGCGGTCCAATTCTCTACAGTTTACCCGTTAAGGAACAATAGGTTTTGGCACTTCATCAAGCAACCAGCTGAAATTTCCACTCATTCGCCAATAGCATTCCTTCGACGTTACCCTGTATCAATCCGGTTAACACTGAGGTTAAATAATTAGTAAGTAGGCAGGTTATTCGATTCCATTTGTACCTAGTGACATCACTGGGTACAAATTCTGGAGTTGCCATGACCCTCTTACATTTCTCTACGCATCACTTAGACGCGGTTAGATCACATGAAGTGCTAAAGGTAGATTCATACCAGCTATGCCTGGTTCTTCACCGATCACTCCAAATGGCTGATTATGTTATGTTAATTTGATGTCAGCTAGTCTGCACTAATGAGAAGCTGACCAGCTGACTTCACACTTAGGCTCTCATTCGAGGTCAAACCATAAGCATACCTGTCGTAAATCTACCTTGAGCAGGCACAGTATTCGAAATAAAATCCTGAACTTCTCTCTACTTGTTTCTGCAGCCATTAAAATGTTAATGATTCATTACCGAGGGAAGTCCTATGCCGAACCCTAATTTGCATCAAACTCAAACTGAGGACAGAGACAGCTCCTTTGTATCAACTAGTTACAGCACTATGACCAGTGGTCTAGCGTATCACCGCTTGTCTTTTGAGGTCTCTATTCATAAACATTTGAAGGTCTGAGCGTTTACATGTTCGTGCATTCATGAATTGAGAGTCTAACTTGAGAGACGATCCCATTGTCTGTGCTCAGATAGGCAACCCAAAAATGATAATTCATCATCGAAATATGTAATTTTAGTCTTTTTGCTTCACATGGCAGCGCAGACAAACAGTAACAAATAAACAGACTGGTAAAGGGAGACAAGTGTATCAATTTTTTTATACGTGATATTTCTGTTTCGACACTTTTCACACGATTCCTAATAGCAAATTTTTATGTAAAACTTCAAACCTCTTTTCCTCATCGAAATTGAATGTGCCTTGATTCCTTTCTGATAGTGGCAGTTTATTTTCAGGTGCATTTCTGCCTCATTGTCTGTCTAATCTTTTCCTTTTTATTTAGGTTACAAGATCCAGGATTAGAACACGAGTCCAAAGTAAGTCCAGTTTATTATAAGCTTTGATTTAAATTTCGAAAGTGAGCCACCTTACAAATGTTTTCTCATTTCAGCTTTAATCTTAAGTCCTTGTCAAACTACAAAGGATTAGGCTTGTTGCCCAGAAAAAGTCTGTTTGAAACCAGCAGGTCATACTCATAGAAAAGAGGTTGTTCCAAAAACGCCGATTTTGGCCCCCCCTGGATTTGGCCCAAACTTTGCTCAGATGTTGTACTAGGTGTCCTCGATGCTTGGGCAAAATTTCAGCCCCCTCGGATAATTAGGGGGGAGGGGGCAGGGGGGCAAAGTTGCAATTTTTTCAAAACTTTAAAAATCGATATCTCGCGAACGGTTTGAGTGTAAGTGTTGCGGTTTGCGCTAAAAAACGTTAAAAAATATTCTCTACACGAATATTGATGCTGTTTGCATGGTTGCGTAATTTATCGTAGTCATAAATCGATTTTTTCGATTTTGAAGGTTCGACTTTTTTTCGTTTTTCGTCTCTCCTCTCCAGGCGATTGTTGCTATGTGAATAAAAACCAGTTGAGGTGATTCTCCATAAAATTTTGCATCTACCACACTTTGTTTGACCTTGGGGAAACGATTCATTCTTGAGTTATAGCGATTTTTCTGCGCGTTCCCGGTTACGCGCGGACGGCATATCGGCGGCGCTTCATCCCCCCCGGGCGAGGCAGAGGTTGTTTCACTGCTAGGGCCTTATATTAATGCTGTAGGCTGTAATTATTGATATTTTCTCCTTCTCCCACCCTTCCCCTCCTATAAATATGTTTTTTATACTTCGTTATACAGGGTGTCCCGGACCACCCGTACCAGGTCTTTTTCTCGGTTGGTTTAGGTAGTACGAAGTGGGGGACCGCGGGGTTAAACAGGGAATTGACCCCAAGGTATCCGAATTTCATGGTCCCGAAGCCCCCCTACCCTCCCTTGGGGGGTAAAAGAGGGAGGCACAATGTCTCCCGACTTTAGGGATCGTGACCCCCTCTTTACCCCCCAAGGGAGGGTAGGGGGGCTTCGGGACCATGAAATTCGGATACCTTGGGGTCAATTCCCCGTTTAACCCCGCGGTCCCCCACTTCGTACTACCTAAACCAACCGAGAAAAAGACCTGGTACGGGTGGTCCGGGACACCCTGTATAACGAAGTATAAAAAACATATTTATAGGAGGGGAAGGGTGGGAGAAGGAGAAAATATCAATAATTACAGCCTACAGCATTAATATAAGGCCCTAGCAGTGAAACAACCTCTGCCTCGCCCGGGGGGGATGAAGCGCCGCCGATATGCCGTCCGCGCGTAACCGGGAACGCGCAGAAAAATCGCTATAACTCAAGAATGAATCGTTTCCCCAAGGTCAAACAAAGTGTGGTAGATGCAAAATTTTATGGAGAATCACCTCAACTGGTTTTTATTCACATAGCAACAATCGCCTGGAGAGGAGAGACGAAAAACGAAAAAAAGTCGAACCTTCAAAATCGAAATGTTGGCGCCTATGCGCCCTGAAAAATATCGAACATCGATATTGCTCCGCCATCTATCGCCTTTTTTGCTAATTAGCGATTTGGTTGTCGAGTTTCCCGATAGATCGCGCATGCTTGTCAATTAGCACTCACTCATCTGTCACCCCTCCCCTTTCTCGATAATGGACTCTTCCCTTTTTTTTGCATGCTACGATACCGCGTTGCCAGCGCGCTCTCTAAGGTTCCACCCCCTTGCAACTTGTTGAATCTTGTTCGACTCTTGAGCTTCGTCTTGTGTCTCGACTACGTGCCGTGTGGTTTTCCTCGAGTTTTCTCAAGCCTTTTGCGGATCTTTGCGCTGTACGTTGCTTTCCTTTGGCGGATTTTGCCCCCAAAAGCTTCTCGAGCTTCGAGTTCATCGTTCATCGCCTTTCTGGTTGTATTCAGGTAGAATTCATGAATTATACCTCCCTCACAGTCTGAGCACCTAGGATCTCAGCCCCCCTTAGGCTTTACCTCGTGGTTGCTAATTTCAGACTTGACAAGTGTCAGCATAATTTCACCCTTTGTTCCCTATTTGCCCTGAATACCCTTCATTAGAGATCAAAGTGAACTATCCCTTTCCTGTATTCCCTTAAACCCTCTCCTTAGTTTCCCTAATCCTTTGGAGACTTCAAGTTCAAGGTCATGCCTAGATCCCTCATGACCATGGAAGGCTAAAGTTTCAATTATGACTTCGTGAGCAAGTCTCGTCACCCAGGAATAATGGTTCGATGGTCTCTGCATACTAACACTCCATGGTAAGCCTCATGTTTCACTCAGACATACCCCTTTGTGACGTATGATGATTTATGTATTATGTGTTCCCACACCCCCGCCCCATTTCAGGTTTCTCTAAGTTCAATCTCTTAGGTCCCAAAGATACAGTCCACTAAATTTATCGGAATTCAGGCCCCCCAAAGATCGATTTTACCTTTCGATTGTATAGCGGCACAAACACGAAAAAATCGATTTATGACTACGATAAATTACGCAACCATGCAAACAGCATCAATATTCGTGTAGAGAATATTTTTTAACGTTTTTTAGCGCAAACCGCAACACTTACACTCAAACCGTTCGCGAGATATCGATTTTTAAAGTTTTGAAAAAATTGCAACTTTGCCCCCCTGCCCCCTCCCCCCTAATTATCCGAGGGGGCTGAAATTTTGCCCAAGCATCGAGGACACCTAGTACAACATCTGAGCAAAGTTTGGGCCAAATCCAGGGGGGGGCCAAAATCGGCGTTTTTGGAACAACCTCTTTCACTAAAATCACCATGGCAGTGTCAGAAAAGTGTAAATGTAAATATTCAGCTTACGAAAAGCACTTAGACTTTTGTGTTTAATTGAACGATTTGGATTGGCTGACCAGGTTTGACTTCCCTAAACTTCATGGAAATGGCGGAATTTTAAGTAACATGTATTTTCCTTTAAAGATTTGGCTGTTGATTTTCAGACGCTAATATCGATCACTAAATTACATTTTAAAATCAAGTGGACCCTATGCATGAATTCTGCGTATCTGAAAAAGGGTAGTTTCAGAGTTTTCATATTACGAATTGAAAGTCTGTATTTTCGGTTGATACGCTGCCATTGCTGTTTACATATTTCTATCAGAGTTAATCAGTCAATATGTAATGATCGCCCCGACTCTAACTTACTGTTTTGATTGTGGTTTTTTGAGTTGTCCTTGGGACCTCTAAGGGGCACCAACTTGGAAGGTACCCTGCTACTCTGCCTTCAAAGAGGGCGGTACCTACGAGGAGAGATCACTTATTACTAAAATATAATTTTTTTTCTCCTAATCTCAAACGGACTGCGTTATCTATATATTTAATATCCTAAGGCCTTTTTTGGCCTCCAACAGTTTGTGCTAATTCGATCTTGCAAACTACTGGACCGATTTTCCTCGGATTTGTTTTAAATGAAAGCTCTTACGCTGTAGACGTGCCAACATCCCTTGGTTTTTCGATTTGCGCGACCGACGTTGCAAAATTTACCTCGATTTGATAACGACATATTTGCATTTTTGACGCTGGACAGTTTGTGCCAATTCGATCTCGGAAACTACTGGACCGATTTTCCTCGGATTTGTTTTAAATTAAAGCTCTTAGGCTGTAGACGTGCCAACATCCCTTGGTTTTTCGATTTGCGCGACCGACGTTGCAAAATTTACCTCGATTTGATAACGACATATTAGCGTTTTTGACGCTGGACAGTTTGTGCTAATTCGATCTCGGAAACTACTGGACCGATTTTCCTCGGATTTGTTTTAAATGAAAGCTCATAGAGTCTAGATGTGCCAAGACCCCTTCGTTTTTCGATTTGCGCGACCGAAGTTGCAAAATTTACCTCGATTTGATAACGACATATTTGCGTTTTTGACGCTGGACGAGTCATATGGTTGGGGGACCTCCCACCCTCTGATTTTCCGTTTCCCTCTCCACGTAAACCCATCCCTACCTGCTCACAACACGTGTCACCCTTCTACCCTAGCATGGGTCCTACGGCAGTTTCACTCATGTCGGGGGTCGGCTCATGTCTTCCTCCAAGAGAATTGGTGATTTATCTTCACCCTTTCGCACCGTTACATTTTCAAAAAGTGTTCTGATTTTCTTTTCCAGGAGTGTTATTTATTTTTCAAGGTTGTTTCTTTTTCTGAAAGTAGGTAATTTTTAGTTTCCTATTCTTTGTTTTTGAATTTATCATTTTGCCTCCAGGAAGTCCTCTAAGCACTGGTAGTAGCAAAATTTGGCTCGCGAAGCGAGCCAACAGTTACTCGCGGAGCGAGTAACTGGGGGTCCAGGGGGCTTGCCCCCGGCTAGCGGCGCAAGCGAGCGTAGCGAGCTGAAGCAGCTAGTACGTGTGAAGGGTCAAGTGGATAAGGGTGTGAAGTAGCTTTCAACATTGCCATTTTTGGCTGAAGGTTTTCCTTGTTTTTTGACCTTCTACTGATCAAGGTGTGATAAACTTTTTGGGACAGTTTTGTTTCCGCTTTCAGAAAAAAACCCGCCGGAACGTTTTGGAAAATAGAAACTCAAAGATTAAGAAAAAATCATAAGCCAGTTATGGCAATGGAGAGCTTCTTAACACCTTTACTCATTTGACGATTCATGTAATTTCTGCTCAGCCTGATGGAATCTTTCAGTGGAGGGATTTGGAGATTCCTCACAATGAGGGGCGGGGAGAGGGAAAAAAAATCTGAAAAAGTGCTGTACGTCATCTCTAAACAGACCTTCGGTTGGTTTCTCTTTTAAAATAATGAAATTTCTTTTAAATTTTGTATTGCTCTAATCCAGATCCAATGGTTCTGCTTAAAGGTTGTACATGCTACGATTTTTTGCCCATCAACTCAACTCAATGTATCATCTTGATTAAATAAGAAAAGAAATCTGCCTTATCTTGTAAGCCAGCCGAAGGGGTTTTTCTATTTTATTCCTGTTACTCTGTAAAACTACCCTTTCAACTTTTAGTGCAATAATTGCAGGAATGCTAACTTACAGTAAAACGCAAAATCAGTATCTGCATTCCATGGGGTCTTATGGGCAGGTTTCAAGTTTATCTATTTTCTTTGCGTAACTCTTTCAATTTGTGCTTTCATATCACTATAATTTCATTCATTAAATCGTGTACAATTATTATGTGCATTGGTCAGTTGCACAGGTGACAAATCCTGTTTTTAGAAACGTTGAGTTATCGTGTGGGCCATTAAAGATTGATGAGCCGACGCACAAAATGGTACCTTACGTAGTTTCCAAAAAACTGCAGGAATTAGATTCCTCAAGATGTTGTCATCCATACCATAGATACAGTGACATCACTCACACTCAGGCACAACAACACACTCAGCCGTGCTCTCGGACATGGATGTCATTTTACAGAATCTTATTTCTGCAGTTTCTCGGTAACAACTCGTATGATTTTACGCTTCGGCTCATTTATTTTTAATTCTCTATTCTACAACCCTACTTTTCCCAAAACAGGATTTGTTACTTGTGAAACTGACCCATTAGTGCAGTTACTGCAAAGAATTAATTTACCGCGCTAAAAGTTGGGAGGGCACAAAAGCGATGAACTAAGAATTTAGGTTTTACTTGTTCATTCAATGGACAGCTCCTCTTCAGAAATAGATGTACTCATTTATTTATTTATTTATTTATTTTTTTGAGTTTTAACTATATGCAGAAATTCTATAAACTTCCATTCTCAGATTCAATGAATCACCTAATGTTTTTTAATATTTTTTTCAGAAAGTCATTCAGTGCCGAGCAGTTAAAAGGACTTTTCAAACGTCTATCCGAAGACCCAGATGCAGTTGAAGCCCTCTTAAGAGATACTAGCGCAACAACAACTCCTAGAAACAATAGTACTCCTCAAATTGATGCTGCAACTGTACCTGCTTATGACAGGAAGAATATCATATCTTCCCGTTCCCTTTTCAGGCCGTCCATAGGTGGAAACAGTTCAACTCCACCTGTCTCTGCAAATAGTTTATTTTCTCAACAGCGTTTCACCAAACGGAAAACTTGCAGCAAGGAGCAGTATCCAGACTTCACCAGAAAAATAATTCTAGTAGACAATCATTGTTGTAAAGTACCTGATGCCAAACAATTAAAAGCATACAGGGAGAGCAAACGAATCTGTGACACGATCGTTTTTAAAAAAAAAATCAAGTGAAATAGAAATCAAAGACAAAATTAAGAAAGTCTTTAAACAGCATATTAAGGAAGATGAAGAAGTGGAAATACTACAGGATGAATATGGAGATTCAGTCAAGATAGACCTTGAGCCGGGCTTAGAACTTACAGGTGAAATCGTTTTCAAAAATATGTACACCAAGACAGTAATGTATGCTCGAATTCTCTCTCAAAAGTCAGTAGATGATTTAAACTCTTCAGATTCAGACTCTGATACCTTACTTTGTAAAAACCGCACAACGTCAAATCAAGGATCCAAGAAAATCCCAGATCCTGAAAATTCTGAGTCCTCTAATTCGGATGTAATTTTAACTAAGAAGCCCAGAACATCAAATAAAGTTTCTAAAGAAGTCATAAATCTTGAAAGTTCTGATTCTGATTCATTTTCGCCCAAGAAATCTCGACTGTCAAATTCAAATCAAGATTTCAAAAAAACCCTGAAGCTTGAAGATAGTTCAGATTCATCAGAGTCAGATATATTTTTACCAAGAGCCTCTTCCTCATCTAAATCTGGTCACTGTCAACCAAAAGTTATGAAGGCTCCTTCAGATCCAGATGGAACCTGGTATTTTACTGATGAGTTTGGTATCACACATAAACTTGTTGATGTAAAATCAATCACATCTGCTGGAATGAAGAAACCGTCAATTGAAGAAGTAATCCGTTCCTGTACCTCTAAAATCAAGACATCGGAAATAACAAGGATCACTATTCTGCGTGGTTCTGGAGAATCAGTTCTGGCTCAGCTGCGGTCGGACCTCAAAAGAATCGGCCCTGCTTCATCTCTACACGTGAAGTTTCATAACGAACGCGGTATGGGAAATGGACCGTTGAAAGATATGTTTTCTATAGCATTTCAAGGTATGCAGGAATCTACCTTTTTGGAAGGTGACCCTTACAACAAATCTTTGAGATATAGGTTTGCAGGGATACAATCTGGTTTTTATGAAGACATGGGCGAAATAATGGTACTTTCCATTCTTCATAATGGTCCCTATCCTGTATTTTTAACCCCAAAGGACTACGTGCAAAACGGGCCATTTGGGGCTCGGGGCGGATACCCTTGAGACTTGCCCTATTCATTCACCTAACAATGCCCCATCTTTTCCCAAAGTTTCAAGCCCCCCAAAAATTTTGGGGAGACGCGGCGGGGGGTCAAAGTTAAAAAGAGGCAAAATTTTCGCGAATTTATTACTCGAAAACCAAGAAGTTTTGGAAAACGCGGTTTAAATGAGCGTATTCAGCGTGACGAGAGCTTTCAGAAAATGTATAACATCATGGGGTTTTATCAACTTCAGCTCAAGTTATCGCCTCCGAAGCGTCGAAACGCTCAAAAAAGACCCCTTATTTTTTCACGTTTCGGCCGATTTAAAAAAAGCCATTTTTTTATTTTGATGAAAAACTGATATGTTGTTCCTGACTCTCTGTAGCCCCTCTAGCTCTTTACCGCATGCAGGGGAAATGTTTTGGTCGCGAGTTATAAGAGCGGAAAGGAGCGAAGGTCGGGAAAATCGGCTATTTTAAACTGCGCGCGCGGCGTTGATCGGAAGGAAAACGTCCCCTCCCACTCAGTTCGGCGAATCACACTCCTCTGCCGACCTCGCATTGTTGCCGCATGTCTCCTGATCCGTCGCCGCGCGCAGTTTAAAATAGCCGATTTTCCCGACCTTCGCTCCTTTCCGCTCTTATAACT